TTGAAATTTTTATTGAGTAAATTCATCAATAGTCATATTAATCATATATTTACATGGATATGTCCTTTTAAAATGTGTAGAGGCTGTATCAAGAAATGGAAAACAGAATAGGGATGGCTTGCAAACTTGGAAGGATCCCCAAGGATGATCTTCATAAGCATTTCAGGTTTTCCAAGTGGGACCATTCTTCATCTCCTGGAAATCATGCTGCTATGGTGCAGGTGGCTGAAGTTTATTGAAAACCTTCAATCTTTCTTATCAGTTTTTGTTGTTTACCAGAAGTTAGTTTAATTAAGATTCTTTTTTTCTTTTTCTATTTTATTAATTGAAAAAAATAGATACTAATTGATGGGAGGGAGGAAGAAGCTAAGGATGGGGAAGGCCACTTTTTGCCGACTTTGGTTTATATGGCCAGGGAGAAAAGGCCACAATATTTTCACAATTTCAAAGCTGGTGCCATGAATGCATTGGTGAGTTAAAGAACTACTCCCATTTGGATTTAGTTGTTAGATTGTGCTGACCACTCATATTCAAGGAGTGCAGTAAATCAGGAAAAATGCATTTGAAATAGACTTGTCATCTGTTGATGTCAACAAGTCTAATATCCCCTCTAGGGGTATTTTAGTAGTTTTGTATAATTTGTTTACTAAAAATGACAATTAATTCTGGACACACTACCTGTGTTTGCCAGCAACGAAGATAAGTTTGTTTCAATTATATTTTTTTTCTTCAAATTTTACCTTCATTCCTTAAATTTGAGGTATACCAGAAAGTGGACAAATAAATCTGGACAGAAAATATAATGATATAGTGATATACATCATTCAATAGCATTTGCATTATGCCAGTATTATTTCACTCTTTAGTTACATTAATGTGCAGATCAGAGTTTCATGTGAGATCAGCAATGCACCAATCATTCTGAATGTGGATTGTGATATGTACTCAAACAACTCATGCTCAATTAAAGATGCCCTTTGCTTCTTCATGGATGAAGAGAAAAGCCACAACATAGCTTTTGTACAATTTCCTCAATGTTTCCAGAATATCACCAAGAATGAGCTATATGGAGGCTCCTTGAGAGTAGTCGATGTAGCATACGAAATTTGATAATCAGGTTTTTTTTAATTCAATTGTTTTTTCTATGTTTTTTCTTACTAGCATTTCCCTTTTTCAGAAAGTGGAATTTCATGGCCTGGATGGTTATGGTGGCCCATTCTACATTGGAACTGGCTGCTTTCACAGGAGGGAAACTCTATGTGGACGGGAGTTCAACAACGAAGATAGGATTGGATTGAAGAGTCACTCTCCTATTAGGCCACATGAAAACGTGTGTGAATTGGAAGAGAGGCTAGGAGAACTAGTTAACTGCACATATGAAAAAAACACTCAATGGGGCTATGAGGTCTCTCGTTCTATTTGCATTTTAGCTTTAGTTATCCTTTAATCTACATTGCTTACATGGTTTCGTTGTTGTTCTGAGTTTGACGCAAAGCAGACAATGTCATATTAATGTAGAGTTATGGAGACGTTTGACGGTCCTAACACCTGTCATCATTGATCCGTGTGTGCGTGTTTGAGTATAAACACTTATTCCTGGGCCTACAACCACAAGTTTGAGGTTTTGGTTGAGTTGGCTTCTTAACATGGCATCACATCCTTGGGCACAAAGGGGCGTGTGAGAGTAGTAAAAAAATCATTCCCGGGCCTACAACCACAAGTTTGAGTTTTTTTTTCTTGAGTTGGTTTCTTAACATGTTATTTATATTTGCAGATTGGTTTGAAGTATGGATGTCCGGTTGAAGATGTATTGACGGGGATTTCGATTTTATGCAAGGGGTGGAAATCAGTATATATTAGCCCCGAGAGAGAGGCGTTTTTAGGTGTGACGACGACCACTCTTGGTCAGGCTCTGGTGCAACACAAGAGATGGTCCGAAGGAGATCTGCAGATTCTCTTCTCAAGATACAGTCCACTTTGGTATGGACTAGGAAAGCTAAACACTGGTTTTATATTTGGTTCTCTCACATATTGCTTGTGGTCTCCTAATTGTGTGGCACTTCTCTATTACTCCATTGTGCCTTCTCTTCATCTACTCAAAGGCTCTCCTATGTTTCCACAGGCATGTCCCAGCTCTAATTGTTATTTATTTATTCCAATGATCTTATACTTCCACTACCCTAAACTAATCAGCTTCTAATTATTCATGGACAAAGTATTGTAGAGGTTCTTGTACTATCTTAAAATGTGCAATTTTATTAGTCAATTTAATTTAAACTGAAACAATTTAGACCCAATGCTATTCATTTTTGTTCAATTTTGTCCTTCCATTTACTTTTATGATTACTGACTATCCAGAACTGTTAAAACGATAACATGTAATTTTAATTTAGATGACATGTGAGATGCTAATTTGGCATGTTGATTCATACTTATTTTTAAAAGAACTTTTTTACCCAGTGCAACTTGCATTTGTTTATTTATTTTATTTATGAAAAAAAACATAGGGATAAAACCGTCAATTATATGATGACCAAATTGTACATTAGATAAAGAATAAAAGGACCAACTTTAGTCATCATACAATAAACAATTATCTCTCTAATTTTCCATAACATAAATAAACAAATTCACGTTGTAGGTAAGGAAAAAAGTAAATAGAATGACCAAATTGAACAAATAAGAATAGTACATGAATTAAATTGCTTCAATTTTGAGCACAAGTACTAATTTGCACATTTCTAGATACTAGAGAGACTTCTACTGTACTTTGTCCAATTATTAAATGCCAATCGAGGTAAAAGAGTCGGTATTTAAGATGTGTTAGTGTTGGATAAATAATTGACTAATACAAAATGACGCATTACACTTCCTATGCATTTTACTCTCTATGAAGTTTTGGATAGTTTTTTTTGTACAAGGGAACAAATGTTTTTCATGGGGATACGACTGCATACATCTCAAGCCCTAACGGTGTTAATTAGGATTTTATTGTGTTTTGATGTGGTTGTAGCTAAACTAATTTGCTTTTGATTGTCCTATTTTCCGCTCTCCCCGTCCAGGTTTAGTTATCCCCATTCTAAAAAGATCTCCTTGTTGAAAAGTGAGTTTAAAGTGTCAAATAAGTCATTCAAATGTGGTTGTCACTTATTCATATCAACATTGCTCCTAAGGTATCTCTCAGAGAATTCATCATAATTTCTTTACTGAATATGGATAGTGGACAATCATTTCCGAACAAATAAAAACAAGACAACTACATCCGGACGGACGGGGTACAAAGTTTTGAGTACTAAATGACGCAATGCTATCAAAGGTTTAATTTATAAAAAAAACCTTTTTTTCTTACACAGGGCAAGGTTGCATACATGTTGTCCGTAGGATTGTACTGGGTTACTTTTGTTGTGGTAACATGTAAGCTTTTGCAAATAAATGCAGGTCTCTAGCATTTGGTTTTTGCCATTTGCTTATTTGGCAGTCGCGGAATCAGCATACAGCTGCTCAGAGTTCCTTTGGGCAGGTGGAACGCTCCTCGGCTGGTGGAACGACCAAAGAATGTGGCTCTACAAGAGGTCAAGCGCTTACCTCTTTGCGCTTCTCGACCCAATCTTGAAGCTGGTGGGCCATTCTAACCCAACATTTGTAGTGTCCCCAAAGGTGTCCGAGGACGAGGTTTTGCGGAGGTACGAGCAAGAGATCATGGAATTCGGGAGCACCTCTGCCATGTTTACTGTTCTGTCCACGCTGGCGACGCTCAACCTCTTCTGCCTTGTTTTGGGGGTGGTGAAAGTGGTGTTGGGAGTGTTGGCATTTGAGACTCTGGGGCTGCAGATTGGGCTGTGTGGGGTGCTGGTTTTGATCAACCTGCCTTTGTACAATGCCATGTTCTTCAGGAAAGACAATGGAAGAATGCCAAGCATTGTTACCATCAAATCCACTGTTTTGGCACTCTCAACCTGCACTTGTTTTGCATTTTTGTAATTCCAATTCTGTTTTTCTTTGGGGTTTTTCTTTTTATTAATGCACCTTTGATTAATCTTCTTCCACAATTGTTTGTCTTGGAAGCTCTAAAATGTATTGTCCATGAAAACAAAAACATTTGTTGGTGTAGACAATAATATTCCATATTCCATCCCTCCTTGAACTAAACTCATGATTTGAATCTGCGGGATTTAAGGAAAGAAATACTCTGTCCAGAAAACAAGATTATTATGAGGTATTTATTTGGAAGAAATAGTGTTGTTTATTTATGTTATGGGTAGTTTAAGTATTTTACTCTTAAAAGTTTATGATAACAAGTAACAGATAACTTATTTTGGAACGGAGAAAAAAGATAAACAGGCCATTTAAAATGAGACGGGAGGAGTAATTTATTATACATTTCTATCATATGGGTCGCACACAAGATGGATGGCATGGCCCAACACTCTATCCAAGGCAGAAAAGAATTAATGCTACTAAATAAATACTCCACATACTTCCAATTTTGGAAATAGGAATACGTAATGAATTAAAACACCTATTAAAAAAAATTAAAACTCGTTACATAATGCTCATATTTATTTTTACACTATATTCGTCCAATTTTTTTTAATTTGAATCAAATTAGAACCTTTAAATATGAATTGAATAAAAGGTATGGTGTATATTAATCTAAAAATAATTTTATAAATTTATTTTGCAAATATATGCTAAAATATTATTCTTCTACTATTTTTATTATAATACTACCATCATCTCAATATATTCGTTCAGATTGATTTATGAATTAGTCGTAGTTAAATTTTTTCACCAAAGATTAATTTGAAGAAAAGAAACCATTATGAGGTCCTAATTGGAGTAATTTTTACATAGTACCTCCATTTCACAAAATAATTCTAATTTTCAAAAAAATAGATTTAAAGAATGCATAATTTAGGTGTTATTTTTCAACTTTACCCTTGAATTTAATGAATAGAATATGATATGATATATATACCAATAATTATAGGAGATTTAATCGAAAGTGAAAATATTTTATGGAAATAGTGAAAAAGTAAAAGCAAGATTGTTTTGTAGAATAAAAGGAGTATTATATAACACTATGTTTGTTCAAGGGATTTGAAAGGAAAAAGAAAATGAAATGAAAAACATTTTTTCAAGTTTTGGTTAGAGAGGAAAAAAAGTAGAAGAAAAAGAAGGTGAGGTGAAAAAACAAGCTAAGAGAAAGGAAAATTGAATTCCTTTTATTCTAGATTTCTAGTACTCTTCGTCTGATCTAGTTGGACATGATCTAGTTTTTTAAAATCTGAATTGGTTTGATAAAGTTGTTTTTGATCTGGTCTGAGTTGTCTAACTTGATTTTAATATAAATAAGTAATACGAAGAACACTATAAGTAATAAGAATAAGTTGACGAGATCAAACTCTCTCTTCATCTCAAAAAGGTTAGCATTTTTACTATTATGCCCTCTTAACAGATTTTGTTTGTATGTATTTATTGATCATTTGATAAAATAAAGTGTTTTTTTTACCTCTTGTTTGCAAAAACTTTAAGGGTTTGTTTGGTATACGGAATTGAAATTGAAATTCCATTGGATTCAATTCATTTTTTACACTATCAATTCCAAATCCACGTAACTTTTGTACTACCAAACACCAGAATTGGAATTGAAGTCATCAATTCCAATTTCATAATTTGAATTCTGTATACCAAAAGGGGCCTATTATACTTCTAAATAATGTAATTTATTTTTTATCTTTAAACCTACTTCTAAATAACATAATTTTAAAAGTGATGAAATTTTACATAGGAGTGAGCATGGTACGGTATTTAGCTCGTACAGATACCGTACCAAATATTTCAATTCGGTATGGGATTTAACTCCGTACCGATCCCGATCCCGAAATATCAGTTCGGTATGGTTCGGTGTCGATTTCGGTACAAATCGGGATGAAGATACATACATACTTTACACGTTAAAATTTAACAATACCCTTTTATTTTTTAAAATTAAAAGTGAATTTAAATAAAAAACATGAAAAATTAAAAAAATGAATATTTAAATGCAAGAGATGCGTATCAAAAACTTAGTTTATATTTCACAAACTAAAAAAATGAATGACAACAAAGGAGGATTTTGAATCTTTGTGAATATTTTTATGCTCATACACAATAATTAAAACTCAAATAAAAATATAATTTACACATAATAAAACTTGAACCAATTTTTTTTAAAAAAATTATAATTTAGTGAAGGAATATATAAAAATATTACTCCGGGGTATTATTTTTATAATATTTTAGTACATATGTTCGGTACGGGATTTTCGGTATGGGACGTCGCCTCATACCGTTCCCGAATACCATACCGACCATTCGGTTCAGTTCCTTCTCGGTACTTTTTCGGTTCGGTATTCTTGGGTTTTTCGGGAAATTTCGGTATCGGTTCGATACTTGCTCACCCCTAATTTTACATGTTGTTCCAACAAGAACATCTATTTTGGGACAGAAGTACTCCGTAGTACATAAGATTAGACCTATGCAAACATGAAACCAGGTCAGATCTGTGTTGGGATTAGAATCAAATAGTTTCTCATTTTTTCAGTTGGGCCCAGCCCAGCCTAAATTATACTCCGTATGGGCTAAAAGTTAAAATCGTATCTGCCCATTTAGGCGGGCTTGGGCTACTGACGGAGCTCTCGGGCCGAAAGCTAGAATATTAGGAAAGAAATCCAACACAACCAAAAACAAGAAAAAGAATTTGTAATACTAGTCTCCAATTGGTGGCAGAGCAAATGTGAGCCTAATAACTTCGGTGCCCCATGTAGTTTGAAAAATTGGCACCAATACTCGCTCTATTTTTAAAACTTATTTCTAAAGTCCATGTGGTTTCAAAATGTTGCACCCACACCCCCTTTGATCATTTTCTGGCCATTTTCCGGCGAAGAGGGGCATTGGCGCATAATTTCGTTTATTATTTGCGTTTTTCCTTCTTTTTCCTTTTCCTAGATTTTTTTTTTTAATTTTTTTTAATTTTTTATAATGTTTTAAATATTTTTAAAATTCTTTGTGTTTGAACTAATAAAAAATTTTAACATGCATTACATCTATCTCAAATTAAACATTTTCATTTTTTCTTACATAAAATATTTTTTTGGAAAGTTCAAAAAGAAAACCCAAAATAAAATATGGAAAAACGAAATGAAAAAATTAAAATACGAAAAAAAGAGTCTTCTACAAAAAACAATTTTGAAACACGTCTAAAAATATCCTTAAAATTGAGATGTCCAAAAATGGTAATCATTTTTATTTTTGTATTATTTTGTTTTTTATTTTATTCATCATTTTTTAGAAGTTCTAAAAAAATTACTTTTTTTCAGAAAAAAATTGTTATTTTGAGACGTGCCGATGCATTATATGTTAATTTTTTCAAACAAAAATAACTTTAAATTTTAAGAACATTATAAAAGTAATTGTAAAATAACCTTTATTAATAAATGAAACAAATAAAGAAAAAAATGGGAAAAGAGAGAAATAAAAAATCAGTAACTCTACCCCCCATGGTTTAGAAAATATGCACGAATGCCCCCCTTCTTCGCCGGAAAAATAACCGGAAAATGATCAGATGGGGCACGGGTACAACGTTTTGAAACCACAAGGACTTTAGAAATAAATTTTGAAAATAGGGAGTGTATTGCTGCCTATTTTTCAAACCATAGAGGGACTGACGATATTTGGCCAAAGCATTTTCGTCAATTGTGAAATGTAAAACAATTATAGGTTCAAATTCATAACACATTAGGGAGTTTAGACACATTAATTTACTTCATTTATGTTAAATGAAACAATTATAAGTTAGTTAACATTTAATATCTTTCTTTGTGTTTTTAATGACAAAGGTTTACATTTAATTATAATGATATGGATTTAGCAACACCCATACACACACACACACATATATTCTTTTGAATATGAATGTGCCTACAAGCCTAACGGGCCACACTTAAGATCTCATATTTGCCCATATAAAAATTGTTTTCGACCAAACTTATATAGATAATTATTACGTAGTATTTCTCATATTCGTCCATTTCTAAGTATGGATTCGACGGATTGGGTGAGCCGAGTCTTTTCTACACATACTTCAACGAGCCCGGTTCCATGGCTACTGGATTCCAGTTGCCACGGAAGTCTCTGTCTCCCTACGGAGCTCTGTTCATAAAATTGATGATTCCTACCCCTCTAACCCCCCGGTAAACCCCCGCCAAGTTCCGACCAAACTAATCACCCCACCTACGTCAATTGCACCTCGTAAGTATTATTGACTTTAAAGTCAAAAGCTTTGACTTTAGTTTGAATTGAGACTTGGCGAGGGGTTTACTGGTGGGGTTAGAGGGGTAGGAATCATCAATTTTATGAATGAAACTCCGTAGGGGGGTAGTGACTTCCTTGGCCACTGGAGTCCAGTGACCATAGAACCGGCCGGGCTCTACTTCAACTTAGGATGAATGTAGTTTGAGATTTGTAAATTTAACATGCAAATTAGTAGTCTCTTCGTCTTATAAAGTTTTGAGGTTTCTTTCCAAAATTGTACCAAAGTGTTGAAGACAACAATTTCAATTCTTCCTTTTGATAATACAAAATACGTGGATTTAGAATTGGTAGAGTAAAAATTGATTTGAAATTAGAAAATTCAATTTCATAAAATCTCAACTCACATTTCAATTTGAATTCTGTCACTTATGTATACTAAACAGATCCTTAATAAAGTTGTACCAAATTTTTTTTAGGGGACGATTAGCATTTTTAAAAAATGTAAAATTAACATCCCTACCAAATTATTTTTATAGAAAATGAATTCAATAAACAATAGAAATAGGATAAGATCATAAGACTAACATAAATGATTATGTAGAAAAATTACAAATTTGCAGCATGTTTGGAACTTTCAAGTTCTCTCCTTACCAAATTTACAATGCGCTGGTCATTCGTGAAAATGGATTGATGGGTATCCCTGGATTTCGCTTGTTCACTCGAACCGGATCTTCCCTTGAGATATTTTCGTGCTAAGAAGATTTGGTTCTATCTTCTTCTTCTTCTTCTTCTCCTTCTTCTTTAACCTTCAGTCCCTCACAAGACATGTAAGATTTAGGATGAACTCATTGTTTAGTATCACATGTTTGTCTTAATAACCTGGGAAAAAAAACATTTTTGTGTGTGGCCGTGTGGGGTGTGTTTTGTCATTTCTAATTAGTTCTTATTAATTGTATTTTGCGTGTTGAAGCACGAGGAGGGATTGATAAGGAGTTCAAATAGCTGACAGTGACACATGGGATCAGGTTTATTTCTTCACGATAAAGATTCAATCTTTAAGATAAACACAGTAGATTTAAGATGGAATCACAGCTGGGTTTGATTGAGCAGTCCTTCAATGGTAGATACTCAAGTTTGGTTAGAGATGCACTTGATGGCTTGCCTGATAGCTTTACAATAACTGACCCTTCCATTTCTGGCCATCCAATTGTCTATGCCTCTGGTGGGTTCTTGAAATTGTTCGGCTATTCGAAGGACGAGGTGATTGGTAAGAACGGGAGGATATTTCAGGGCCCCGAGACTGACCGGAGATCGGTTAGGGAAATTCGGGAGGCGATACGAGAGGAACGTGCAATACAAATCAGTTTGTTGAATTATAGGAAAGATGGGATCCCATTTTGGATGCTGTTCCACATGTCTCCTGTTCTCGGTCGGGATGGGAGGGCCATTCATTTTCTTGCGGTCCAAGTGCCGATTTTGAATACACAAAGATGGATGTGGAGGAATGGGATGGATTTTTGTCATGATGGAGTAGCTGTAAGGGACCCTGTGTTTATGTGTTGTAGACGAGATGTTTGCATCAATTCGGCTTCTGGTTTGGGACCCTTTCTAGCTTCGTATTCAGTTTCTGGCCTGGATTATCGTGGTGCGTGATGCTCGTGAATCATTATACTTTTCGTGTCTAAAACATTTAAATAATTTTGTGCACAAGTTTTCTATGCTTTGGGTTTAGTTGCTTGTGTCGGTATGTGCACTTCATGTCTCGGTGCTCTCACTCTGTCCGTGCTATTGCGTTTTATTGGAAACAGACTCTCTACCCTTCTAAGTTAGGGTAAGGTCTGTGTTCACATATCCTTCTCAGACCCTACTTTTGTGGGATTTTACTGGCTTTGTTGTTGTTGTTGTCATCAACAAATCCAATTCCAAGCTTCCATTTGAGAAAATAAATTGCAGCGGATATAATAGGGTAAAAAGCAATGACAAGCACCTCCATAAGTATACATTCATTTCATATGTGCACTTCAATTTCAGTTTCTCCTTGCATATAGTGCTGTTATTAGTTCATGTGACATGCATCATATGGTATTATCTTTCAACGATGATATGCAGACAAAGATTTTCACTGACAATACCCGAAAGACAAAGCAATGCTTTTCATTAATGGACGGATTATAGATAGAAATAATTTTATAAAACAAAGCTGCAGCGAGGGTTTATTCGTTGTTAACACTTTTTTTCATTTATCATTATTGATCGTCTTTTTCCTTAGTTCACTATATCTACCTACAATGTGCTTTATATACTTCTTCAAATTTATGTTTGTATTCCGTTTTGATTTAACCCATCAGATCAAATTTAGTAGCTTTCCCTCACTGAATTTGCTATGTACAGAAACTCGACCTTGCGAGGCAAGTGATATAGAGAAGAGAAAATCTGTGGCTGCTCTTAACAACATATTATCTGTTCTTATGAACTATAGCGAGTTGACTAGCAGCTTGGCAACGGAAAAGAAATGCTCTCCACCTAGGACGGCTCTTCTTGGTTCATCATTAACATTATCTCTTGGTAGAATCAAGCAAAGCTTTGTATTGTGAGTTTCTTTTAGTCCATTTCTTAAATGTTGTATTTTTTAGGGCTCCTTTAGTAACTCAGTTATCATGTTTGGAAGTTTGAATGTGGTTGAAAAGGTATGGGTTTAGTTATGATAGATTGTAACTGAATGTTTGATTTGTATTGGGACATAAATTTACGGTTTGACTCTCCTTTGAAGATTTCCATAATCTCCAATGGAGCCAAAGATTAACTATTTTACCTGTAGAGGACAGGGTGAGACTAACTTTCACTCCCTAGGCCCCACTCTGTGAGATTTTCACTTGGCTTCTTGTTGTGTTGTGGGTTCCTTGGAAGACGGAGGCATTGTTGCTTTAGACTAAAGCTCTAGTAGTCTAGTATTTGCCTTCTTACCGTCATTGACATAGTTTCCACAGCCAATGAAGCAACAACTTGGGAATGGGTACGATGCCAGGTTGGGGTGGGGAGGGGAGATGAATGTGTTTGAGGGGTGTTTACAGAATGTGTTTGGGACATTATTGTTCATAACCAAACACGAGGTTAATCCCAAACCCATACCTGTTACCCATTTATTGGTGAACCAAACGGGTCCTTGCACATTTGATGTCAGTGTGCTTGTTATCCTTTCCCTCTCTAAAATATTTTCTACTAAATTGCAGAACTGATCCCCAAAAACCCGACATGCCAATCGTATATGCGAGCGATGCCTTCTTAAGATTGACAGGTGCCCTGTTAAAATCAACTTTCTCAATTGTTTTTTGTTATATGAGCTTGGTAGTAAGAATGTTGTCTGCAAATTTCATTTGTGTCCATTTTGTTGCTCCGCCTTCTTTAAATAGGCTACGGTAGAGATGAAGTATTGGGATGCAATTGCCGATTTTTAAGCGGTCCCGACACTGATCCCCTTGCTCAATTTCAGGTGATTTTTTTGCCTTACAAAAATCTTTATTCTCAATCTTTTTCTTTATTACAATATGGGGTAGGCATTCTAGAAAGTACAACAACTGGAACCCAGTAAGGTCCCACAAGTGCGGTATGAAGAAGGTGGGTGTACACAAATATTACCCCAGCCTTTAAAGGCAGAGAGACATTTCCGAAAGACCCTCTGCAAAAAATAAAAATAAAAAAAACATTCTAGGATATGTTTAGGGCAAATGGGGAAAGGGTCATGCTATAGTCACAACATAATCACACCAGGGATGACACCAAGGTTCACACCACCAATGTTTCACACATTATGATTATAACGTTTTCTCACAGACAAGGTGATTGTCTCTAGTGGGGTCGACGGTGTTATCTCTAAGGTTAAAGTAGCATTTTCCTTATAGAAATGCAAAAATACTGCAGTTATAGCAGTTAGTCAATGCAACATTCGACGCTCATCATGGGTCATCCGGAAACAGCCGTTCTATGCTTAAANCCCCCCCCCCCCCCCCCCCCCCGTAGCCCGCCATGGGCGGGAGCCTTTGAAGCACTGGGGTAATGTTGTTGTAAATGCAAAAATACTTTAAATATTTTTATTTACTTTCCCTTGTCAATTGTCATCCAGATTAAAGAATGCATTGGAACAGAACAACCATGTACAACACGTATCTTAAATTACAGGTTCGTTTCCAAATGGACATATCGCGCCATCAAGAAAAAAAGTGTTGCTGCATTTTTTGTACTAAACGTTTGCAGCCTCTATGTTTGCAGAAAAGACAGGACACCATTTTGGAATTTCCTACATATTTCACCCGTTCGAAATGCAACAGGCAAGGTAAATATCATTTGTAGTAATTCGTAATCCATGAACTGTGCATTTTTTTAAACATTTAAGCAATTAATGCATTTTTTTCGCGAAATTCCTCCATTTATTTCCCATCTACATGTATATTTTGTGTAGGTCGCATACTTTGTTGGCGTTCAAATCGAAGATGAAGACAATAGCCAAGAGAAACATGGGCCGAAACCCGATAGGAGCCAGCTAAGTGTTGTCGCTGCTGTCAAGGTTGCTGTGAGAGGCTCTTCCATGGCCAGTTCTCATACATAGAGAGATATAATGTGATCTGCTTTGGTTTTTCTTTATTAAGGTGTTTATCAGGGCTCCCTGATATATATATTACCACTTTGGGATAGATAGAGACACGTACGTTTTACACCATGTTTGGTTCAAAAAATTTAGAAGCGAAAAAAAACAGTATGAAAATAATTTCATCACCAATTTTCCTACTACCCGAATAAGATTGAGATATCGGCTTCTTCGACTTTCATTTCCTTTCCTAAGCATTTTCCTTTCTCCTGTAATTCCTCGAACCAAACGTAGTGTTAGGTTTGTAAGCCACATTCATTGTATATTTTCTGTGGTGTGGCATTTGAAATAAAGTCACAAACTCTAAGATTTCAATCACAACATTTACTTCCTTCCCTTTATTGCATTGAGCATTCTCCTACTCTATTGAGAACATCTCTATTTTAGGAATCTCACTTTCTTTTCTATAAATGGGACTCCCCTTTATTGCAATGAGCACAAACCTTTCCTTCAATCAAAACGACGCATCAGGAGCGATCTTTGACATTATGTATAACAAAAAAAATATATGATTATTGTGAAATTACACTTTTAGCTATCAAATTAACACTAACATGTCAGAAGATCAAAAAAGATTATTTATGAAAAGTACTTATAAAAAAAGAACTTTGATAATGGAAGACTAAATATGAAAAATCTCATATATATTATATAAAATCAATTATGAAATTTAAGTCAACATTTAAAACAATGATAACACAGGATTCAAAACAATTATGAAATTCACAGAATGCGGCCGGAACTTCTGATCGAATCAGCAGCGGCGGCAGGAATTCCCAGAAACAGCAAAAAAGCAAAGAGAGAGAGAAGCCCAGAACAGTGTCCAGAGAAGAAATTTCGCCGGCTTCTCCTCCTCCACGGCGAAACCCATTTCTCCGATTGTTTCAAGAACATCATCGTCTCTAGATGTTCCTGGGATCGAAATATTTGGGAAATTTGAGTTTTTGGAATGACCTAGGTAAGCGAATGGCTGAGATTTAGCGAAATGTTTGGATTTCAGGCGAAGTTGCCCTTTAATAACCAAAGAAAAGGTAATAATGGGCGATGGTAGTTTGGGTTTAGATTGCTGAGAGCTTCCATGGATGGTGCTCCGGAGTGCCGTCTTAGTGGAGTGTGAAAGAGAAGTTGCCATATCTCTCTCAAAAAGAGAGGTTCTAGAAGTTTCACTACATTGCAGTGTGTCATTAGAGATCTATATATTCTATTTACTCCCTCATTCTTAAATTAAATTGTCTAAAAGGAATTCACTTTTTTTTTGTATTTTGTTAGTCACTTGATAAAATAATCATGTCACTATTAATTTTATAAATTTTTTGAAGTAATTTTTAAGTATGTAATTTTTATTTTTTAATTCTACATCATTTTTCATATAAAATAATTTTAAAACAGTTTCAGTCAAACATCGTAAACCGAAAAAGACGATTTAAATTGAAGAAGGAAGTATAAAATTGGTAATGCCTCTACATCTACCCTATCGGTAAACTCCCAATTCGGTTGGCGGAACCCACCACCATAAACAATACCTTTCAAGTTTAGTTAACTCTGGACTCGAGTAATTGAATCCAAAATCAACTAAACTTGTGGGATTCAATTGATTGGGTGAGATTGGGTTCCGGTTAACCCGAGTAAGAATCATCTATTTTGCAAATGAAACACCGTAGATTTCCAAAATCATAGTGGTACTACAGTGGCACTTTATTTTAGTGGCAATGAAATCATGCCCACCTCATTTTAACAAGTTGGATAGTGACTTTACTATCTACCCCTCCATCCCGGTGTATTAACATAATTTGACTTTTTCAAATTAAAATAGATGAATTTTAATAATTAATTGCTCTCAATTTGCATTGAATTTTTTTCGTATAAAGATATACTCTGTATTTGCAAGTTAACATTCTTTTCAACACTCCAAATTCCAATATACTCGCTATGTGTCAAGTCTACATGAGAAATTCATTTCCGAAATGAAGAAATAATAAAATATTCTCCTTCTCTTTCGTAATAATGTTTCAAAATGTTTGTCATTCATCCCAAAATAAAGTATCACTTTTCATATGAGACAATTTTTTTTGCGGCTTACATCATTTCTCTAATCTGTATCGTTTTCAACAAAACAATTTCAATTTTCATAATCTTTGTGCCGGTCAATTGTGGAACATTAATACATGACGAAGAGAGTAATATTTGTCATAATCTCTCTTTCCAAACCAATCCATCTATGCACATCCTTTTAAGAGGGGAAAGGGCACTCATTTGTATTACTCATGTATCGCCAAACCTACAATGTCATCTCATTTCTATCCACGATCGAGTACCCACAAACTATAAAATACTCCCTCCGTCTCAAAAAGATCTTCCTGTTTCATTTTTTGCTCGTCTCATAAAACACTTTTATCCCGCCTCAAATGCAAAAAAAACTTTCAAAACAACTTCTACTTACAATAAATGAGAAATGTGGTAAATTTTAGGCATTTTAGATGTGTATAGAAGTGTTTTATAGGATGCGCAAAAAATGAAACAGAAAGATCTTTTTGGGACGGAGGGAGTAGCTTGCAGCACCTGCCCACAAACACCCTAGTTTTTTTTAATTTAAAATAAATTAAATAATTAAATGTAATCCATCATGCAAAGTTTACCATGTCCTTGTGGTATCCTACCTACATGGCTGGGGGTGGGTTTACTTTGAGGTTTAAGACTCATGAAGTTTCACATGTATGTGCCTCGTCCTCTCTAGAAGATGTTGGAAATTAGAATGGAAGAAGAATGCTGCGGAGAAGCGTTAACAAAGAACAAGAAAGATAACTTGATAGAGTATAACGAATCGCGTAGAACATTTTCAGATCAAAGTTATTTTGGGGTACACTTTAATCAGATAAGACATTACTAAAAAACAAGCACTGAAAATCGGATGCCTCAACCATAACTACGAGGCTCTATTTATAGAGTCAAAAATTTTATGATCAGGCATGAACGATCGCGTAAGACGCGAGCGTTCGCGCGAGGAGGTTCTGAAAAATGCAAATTTTGCTTAAGGTGACAAACGTTCGCGAAAGGATTCTTGCGGTTTTTGGGGTTAATTTGGTGTTTATCCACACGTCCAATTCTTTTCTCGTTTTGGACTCTGTTCACGAAAATTGAAAGATTTTCATAAAGAAATAACATATACCCCGGCCAGGGGCTCTGCCCCTTGGCCCACCTACCCGGGGGCTGCTGTCCCCAGCCCCTCGCTATGAATTCACAATATTGTTGAACGAGTGCGGACTCCGCGGCTCCTAACTCATTAGAAAACGTCTCTTACAATTCTTGTCTGATCTAAGTAAATCCAATAACACAAAATAATCGATGACACTAAAATTACCAAAAGAATATGGGACACTTATTCCTTCCTCAAGAGATTCATGATCATATATACTACAAATCCCAACAATGCCAAGAAGGTAATTCATCAAAAGGAATAGGATGACTTAGACATTAAATTGAAATAAGGAAATGAGATAATAATAAAAAAATTACTGCCAAGTACCCTTTATTTTACAATAATAATTGCCAAGTATCTCTAGTCTTTTCAATATATTACGGGGTACCTTAAAATATTGAAAAACTAACTTGAGAGTCATTTTTCATCCATACCTCTGTTTGCTTCAACTTCCTTCGTCATTTCTATACCATCATCATCATCATGTTAATTAATAGTGCTTGCTGCAAGAAACTAAAAAGGACACCACGAGAACTTGAAAACTTCAAAGAACTGATAGGAGCAATTTATGCAATAGTGGCATCACTAGATAAAGGCAATGAAGCAATTATACAAGAAAATTTGGTTTTACAGAGAGCTTCGAACAACAAGAGAGAGAAGTGCCTCAATTATCTAGTGAAGAACTATTCAAAATACTCTGCTGACAAAATACCAGACATATATTGCTTCCTTATGAGTGATGATGAAAAGCTTAGGATTGTAGTTCAATCTCCGATCCCAATTAGGAACAAGTGATGATGAAGATGTATTATGCTTCTGTAACATGTCATTCTATTTCAATATACTTCAAAATATTTTTGGATATTCTCAAAATACTTGATAATATGTTTTCATATTTATTGAATGTTATTGGATATTGGAGCACCAATGGATTATTTTGGTGACAATTCACTTTTTGCAATGAATATGATTTTATTTTTTGTCATATTCATATTGAGGAATAAGTTTTTATTTACATTTTATATTAAACTATACTCAAAATTTCAAATTATGGTGTTGTTTAGAAAATAGCTTTTCGTATAGCTTTTGGCATCTTTGACTGACATTCGCTTTTTTGACTAAGCGAATAGCCAAAATCATTGTTTGGGTAATGGCTTTTTCACTTAGCATTTTAATCCGAAAAGCCAAAATCTGGAAAATCAAGGGGAGTAGCATTTCGACTTGGCTGTTAGGAATATTATTTTTTTTAAAATCATTTTTCTTGGAAGTTATTCTATAATATATGTAGAAAATAAAAATAAAAGTTAAAAAAAATCAAAATTAAAATAAAATAAAAATTAAAAATTAAAAATTTCAAAAAAATGAGATGATAAAATAAAAAGTAAATATCATTAAAAAGTTGTATATTAATAATTTCTTATGAAATAAATGAAAATAAAATTTAATACTCCATATCATAATTTTTTAACTTTACATGCAAAAAATGAAAAATAAAGATTGTGTGTGTGTGTGTATAGGAAAAAAGTATTTTCAAACAGCTAATTTTACCAAACATTTTTAGTGATCAACCAACTCATCCTGCCGGTCAAACTAGCTAAGTTAAACAGCCATTCATAACAGCTGGCACGAACTGCCAATAGACATCAGCTGAGAGCCAACATCCAAACAAGGCCTATATTTAATGAGTAGGGGTTTCTCGCTTATTTGCTGCTACTATGTATTTTTGAGTTAATTACCAGTATATGTAAATTAAAAAGTTTTTGTTCCTGACAGTGACAGTGCAAGTCAGAGAAAAAATTCAAGTCATTTTACGATGTTTAAATCGTGGGATAAGTACCAAACTAGGAGTAAAACATATGTCATATCCCCAAAATAGGAGTTCGAACTTAAACTCCTCCAAATAGGAGTAATTAATTTTCATTAATCTAATCTTCTCGCACCCATTCTCCCTTCCCGTTCATTAATCTAAGCTTCTGCATCGGCAATCATTTGTACTGTCTTCCTAACATTAAAGCATTAATGCCTTGTTTGGGTTAGAATAGAATTTGGTATGGGAAATTATATAAAGAATTAGAGTAGAATAAACAAAAAAACTTTTTTGGCCAACCTTTTTTATTTCCAGTTTTCAATTACCTTTTTCAGTCTTTATCACTTTTTCAAAGCTTTTTTTTCAAATGTAGGGTAACTCTTTGTTTGGGGGAGATAAATAAGAGGGAAAAGAAAATAAAGAAATTGGAATATATTCTCTTAGTTTCTAAATTATCTTTTCAGTTTTATTATCAAATTTTAGTAATTTTCTTTGCTTATATTCACTAGTCAATTGATAGAATAATATAGTTATGTCACTTCCGATGATGCAGACCTGTGGTGATTTTTGCCTTCCATCGCGGCATAATTCCCCTAGGCGGTGGTTAATGCGGCGGAAGCAACGGCCATATAAAGAGGAACGATGTTGCTGCGTTTCCTAAAGGGTTTTAGGAGTCTTCCGAAAAGGCCACCACACATTTTGTTTTCTTCGTATTTGAATGAATCGAGACGAGACTTGCACAGTGACATATAAAGTCATTCATGCGAATGCATAGTATTAAACAAAGGGAAAATACTAAACATGACAGTGTATAATGCCACACTTGACAATATATAATGACAGATATGTCATTGTATAATGCTACATATCATACATGTTAATTATATGTTAGCATCAAACTATTTCAATGCCTTTGTCATCTTTGCTTAATTTTCAATTCAAGTTCAAACTGATGATATACCCTCCATCATGTTAGCTTCGCCTTTTATGGGACTTCCTTTCTTTTGAGAGAAGCCTTTGTGATCCTGCATAGAGAAAAAACTTGTGGTCTAGGACTCTAGGTAGTATTCGGGTCGCACGAGGAATGAGGGGCCTCTTGTTTCAAATTCTGATTTAGGAAGAGAATCTAAAGTTTTTTTTAACCAAAATCTACCATTTTGTCGTTGATTTTTTGCCTTCACCGCCGACATCACGGCTCTCTACCGATGTCTCCTACTACACCATAACCACAATTTACATTGTTGATAACACAGTAACGCATTAACTACCAAATACAGTGTTAAAAAAACATAATGTCAAACATTGCACCAGATAGTGTCACAAATGATAACACATAATGTCACAAATACCCATATGTAATGTTTTAGATGTAAATTGACAGTGTCACGCAAAGATAAATAGCCCATGGATCAGATTAATGAAGTCTAAAAACTTTTTTTAATTGATATGTGCATTCCAAATCAATAATCAAAAATTAAAAAAATAAGTCATTTTTAGGGGGACAGAGATGCATTTTTGATTTGCTAAAATTATAGCCAAAATATACACAAAATATCACACTAGCACTCGCCATCAATAATCAGAGTTGAGATTTTGGCTTGGGAATTTCATCGAATACCTTTTGGGCCTCAAACGCCTCAAAACGGGCGGGAGAAAAGAGGCGTTTTTCTCTTGGACCGAACAAGAGAGGAGAGATTTTGGCATACAAAAATTGAAAAAAAAAAGGAATTTTGGTCCATATTCAGTCCACCTTTATAAAGACAGGATTTAAAAGTAGTATGTTGTTGATTCATGTTCTTCTGAGCTTGACTCCGTCTGTGGAGATCGACGCTGCAGCTCCCATAAGCAATTGTTCTAAAAAGCACTTGAGGATATATATGTAATGGTTCGCGTGGTGTGGGTAGGGACTTAAGATAACATCATTTATTAATTGATTAATCACTCCTATTTAGAGGAGTTTAACTTTGAGCTCCTATTTTGATAATATGATATATGTTTTACTCCTATTTAGGGGATTTTCTTTTAAATCGTCTGTTTTGGTTTACGATGTTTGATTGAAGCTATTTTCAAGTCATTTTATATAAAAAAACGTGTTGAAATAAAAAATACATATTTAAAGACTAAAAAAAATATTTACAAACTTGTGGTGTCATGATTATATTATTTTATCAAATGACTAACGAAAAATAAAAAAGAAAGTGAATAAAGTTTAACTCTTTAAATACTAAACATGCAATTTAATGACAGAGAGAGTACATTCATTACGCATTGTAGATTAATACACTGAGCAAAATTTCCAAAAATGACATCGTTTGTCAATGTTTTATATACGAGTACTGCTTAATGATAATTTGTTTTTTATTTCTTCAAATGATAAAAGAAAAATTATTCCTTAACATTTGAAGCATATGCAGTAGAGTAATGTACAAAATTAACAAGTAACATATACTACCTTCGTCCCTGAGTATTTGTCCAGTTTTGACTTTTCTCAGACAACTGTTTTCAACCTTTGACATATAATTCAATAAAATATATATTGTACATTAGTTAGATAAAATAATATTTTGAAAATATTTGATATAATAAATCTAATAAAATTATTTTTGTATCAATATATATCATTTTTAATTAATTTGAAATCAAAGTTTACAAATTTTGACTGAAAAAAATCAGAAGTAGACAAATACTCAGAGACGGAGGAAATATATAACATCACAAATAAAATCAAATAGTGTGAAAGGACCAAATAGACATGAGCAACATATGTGTTTTTGGATGAAAGGTAGATTTATTTACTTAAAAGAATAAAAAAGTATACGTACAAGACAAATGTGGTATGCCCCTACCAAGATACAACACTTGCAAACAAAAGTTCTTATTCTTTCGTGCGAAAGTACTTAACGTGCCTTGTAAAGTATCGAGAATCTTCGTTTGACGATGGATCGCCTTTATCTTGGGATGCACAACGCATACTCAAGATAAAAAAGGTTACTCCGGTGATGGTGAAGGTTATGAGAACAATAGAAAAAGGATGGAAGATTATACATGCTAACCATTCCTAATTTTTATCACAAGAAGTATAGGTGCAAAGACACACTCAAAGATGCAAGTTCAAATGGAGCTCGAAAGGTGTGGTGCATTAGTGTTTGTGAAGCGATGATAAAGTACCTTAATGTGAGCTGTCACTAGATTAGCTTGACAGCTCCCATCTTGAAAGTACATTTGTCAATCGCTTGACATTAAGGTATCATTGCTTCACAATCGCTAATGCACCACTCCTTTCGAGCTCTATTTGAACATGCATCCGTGATCACCTGTCTAAGGGCTTCACTAAATTCTCAAGTATAATACTCCCTCTGTCCCCAAATAAACTTCCTCTTTCGTTTTTTCTTTGTCCCCAAAAAAACTTCTCTTTTCCCTTAGAAAACCACTTTTACCCCTTACTTTTTCATACCCTACCTATCACATCATACCTTTTTACTAATAATCTACCCATCACATCTTACTTTTATCCATCACATCAAGGGTATTTTTGGAAAGTCAACACCAAAATATCCCTCCCTTAATTTCCCAAAAAGTCAATAAGGGAAGTTTATTTAGGGACGAAGGGAGTATCTGATGTCATGAAACCTTTCCTGAAGTGTTACGGCTTGCATACGATGAAAGCCGAGGAATCAAATATAATTGCACCTATGCATCTTCTTCTCATAGAAGTATTCAACATGTATTACCTTCCATCCTTCTTCAATAGTTTGTGGAACGCTCAAATCCCAAAATAAATCTTCTTCATCTTGGGTATGTATGGTGCATCCCAAAGTAAAGGTGTCCCATCATCCATCGTCACAGGTTTTCTTTGCAAAGTATCGAGCAAGCATTCTCGATACTCCACAGAGCACATTTATTCATTAAGCATCTTTGCACAAAAGAATCTAGATCACTTTAGGAAGCCCTTAAGAACACGTACAAGACACAAACGACTTATAGAACATAGATCTTAATTTGTGTGACCACTTTAATTGGACTAACTTGGACAGTCCATAAAGATATCGTTTCACATCCTCCAAAGTGTATGGATAGTATACGAGAAAGTGTTCGTGTTCTACCATAGTCCTTGCGCATCCCTTTATAGAGTCATCATCTCTCTTTCCAAGCAAACCATCTCTGCACATTCTTCAAAAAAATGGGATGCTAATTCATGTCATCATCACAGATTCATAACCAAACATACTAAATTCCCATCAATGTCAAGAAAATCCAATTTGTCTTTAATTCACAACCTGTCACGAATGCAAAGCCACCCGATTAAAGCAGGTTTTAAGAGTAGGTTGAAGTAATGACTATTTATTCGATAAGACATAAAGTAGAATTCATGTAGGTAGTTGAAGAGTGAAACTTTTTTTGAATTGTTTTAAATTTTCAAAAAAAAAAAAGTAATGAGAAGATCATGAATTTGATGTAAGAAATTCTCCGCCCATAAAAAAAATAAATAACAATTTATTATTAATGTAGATGACATGAATTCGGTGTTACAAATTCTCCTCCCTTAAAGAGAAACTTGTCCAACAAATTCAACAAAATAATCGAAAGAAAAACATGTAGTGCTTCAATATATATTGAAGTCTTTGTTTCCCAAGTCATGTGTGGGAATATTAACATGGAAGCAAACTCACCACACTAAGACACAACCAAGGAAACAAGAAAGCTCAACGAAATAACATATATATCAAACAAACCAAAGTTGAATTTTTATTGTAATTAGTTCATTCTTAAATTTCTTAAATCATTTTTCTCTTCAATAAACAAATTTCAACACTCACTTTTCATTTTTCAACTCTTGTCTTAAGTTCTACGAAGCTTAAAGTGTCAGGTTCATTATGAGATGGAGGGAGTAATTATTAACGATCAAAGTGTTGCATAATAAATCATGAATAGTGAAATGGGCAAATAAATTGGGGGCCATTGCCATAGTATGATATTGGTCCATTTGAGGCTCTTATGTTGCTTCGTTGGAATCCAAAACTTTTGGGAGAAATTTTGTACAATGGATTGTCACCGAAAGGAGGGGGCCTAGGGGGGGCTGGGATGGGGTGAAGGGGGCAGGCTAGGGTATGGGGCAGTAACTACTCCCTCCATTCTTTTTTAACTGTCTGGTTCGCTTTTCGAACCTAAAGTTTGTCCAACAATATCCCTTAAAATATATTAGCAAAAAATTTATAAAAATAATATTTTTAAAGTACTTTTTGATGCCAATAATTTGGTATAATTTTTAAATTTTAATTCATTGTATATTTTTATATATAGCTAGTCAAACGTTTGACACGCAAAGCAGACCGTTAAATAGGAATGGAGGGAGTACTTCAGGTCGAGTGGAGTACCGTATAGGCCTTAAATGGACACAATGCCATGGTATGACATTAAAATCTATGTCATAAAAATCGTGGTGAAGTTTATTAACACGCCATTATAAGTTGATGGTATACTTAAAATTGAAAAGGACAATTTCTTAATCTCCGTGCCAAGTCAAAACTAGAAGAGCTTAATTGTGATCTAGTTTTGAGATGAAAGGTATTAATTAAACTACTTATATTCTTAGAGTTAAGATTTGTAGGGATTGTTCAAGGAAATTATTATGAAATCTCAAAAACTATAAACGGTAAACAAGATTTGAACTTTGAAGTCTCAAGTCAAAGCTTAAATACAAAAAATATAAACGGTAATCAACGTAATTCTTCGTAGCTTAATAGAAGCAATGATGTATACAATATCAGATACTTTCTTCATTGTTCATGTAGTGGGTAGATATCAATGTAGCCCACCTAGGTGGTCTAACACATTGGAAAATAGTTCAGAGAGCATTCAAATATTAAAAGTAGATCTACGTTCTTAATGCAAAAAGAAACAGGTTAGGAACTTACATGCAGATTACTGAAGCAACCATCCATCATTTGTCACCCCTATTTACGGAATCCAACCGGCTAAGAGGAGTTTCTTGAGGCATAAGATTAGATCTTACATTTAGCTCCTCAAAAATTTTCTTCATCTCAATGATAAGCTCAGTCCTCCGTCTGTTTTTTTCTCCAAATTCTTGAAAGTTCATTGTATGATTACAATAGAGAGTCACCTTCAGTTTACTCTCGTTCTCAGTTTCTTTCACTACAAGATTATGAGTAGGATACCAGTGTTGAGGGTTCATCTCTATATACCTGATAACACCCGCAACCGCCATTAAATAAATCCCCAAAACAAACTTCACATGAATGAATATCAAGAACAGATTGCAAAATCATGCTTTCTCACTTCACAAGATTTAGTTGACTTTGGAGTCAAATTTTGACTCCAAAGTCAACTAAATCTTGTGGAGTGCAATTGATGGGGGTGGGGGTGGGTTCAGGTCGGGCCGAGGTGGGGGGTTTATTGGGGGTAGGAACCATCAATTTTTTGAACAGGGCATCGTGGGAACGTCCCCCCTTATTTTTTTGAAAAATATTAAAAATATGTTTCTTTCACTAAATATTCTTACAGAGTATAATTTTTTATTTCATTTTATTTTAGAAGTACATATACATGTATTTGTATAATAATAAATAATACTACGGTATTATTGTTGTTGTTATCATTACTATTACTATTATTATTAGAACCGGTCGAGCCAGCTTGCGAGCTAACATAAAACCTGAGCCTGGCCTTTAAGTTTGCGAGCCCCCGTTTTTTATGAACTGGATAAACCTGTACCTTCAAAAATCAAATCCTAAACCCGTTATTTTGCAGGAAGGCTTTTGCAGTTTGGCCCGAATCCGGGCTCATGATGGTGTCTACACTAAATAATTTAAATAAGTTACTTATTAAACTATTTTATAAAATATTTCTCCATGTTTAAATACTAACAACAATTTCTGATAACAAATAAAACAAAGAATATATTAGCATTGTAATTTGCATCTATGAATGTAGAACAAGCTAATTTCAAAGATTTTTTTAACTCATTCCTTAAACTTGCCTCTTGGAAATTGCCAGCAATTTGCATCTATGAATGTAGAACAAGCTAATTTCAAAGATTTTTTTAACTCATTCCTTAAACTTGCCTCTTGGAAATTGCCAGCAATTTGCATCTATGAATGTAGAACAAGCTAATTTCAAAGATTTCTTTAACTCATTCCTTAAACTTGCCTCTTGGAAATTGCCTCTAATGTTAATGTCAAGTAAGGGTAGGGGTAAAATATGTGAACACACCCACCATAGATCCTACTTCCATGGGATTTAACTGGATTTGTTGTTATTATTGTTCTTGAAACTCATTCCTTAAACTCGTGCTATTTCAAAAAGTGAACAATGAAATCCTAATAAAGAGACTATATGATAAAAAAGTCACAAGTCCATAATAAAATGTGTCCATCCCACAAAGAATTTTCACTTTGACTTCACGGAGCTCGAAGGATATTGTTTAGAAGAAAGAAATGTTATGAACCACATATTTCTTTCCTTTAAAGTTTAAGGGAAATAAAAAAAAGCGTAAAGTTTATTTTGGATTATTTGTAAAAGACTATAGGGAAAGTGGGAAATCTTTGTGGTCGGAGGAATAACGGGGTAACTATGATAGGAAAAAAAATCAAAAGAATAATAAGGCAAAAACAACTTACTTCTTAATCCTTTCTTTCAGCACTTGAATCTTCTCGAGTGGTATTGCAAAATCAATAGTGAACTCAACCGAATCACCCATATCTGGACTTCTATTATAATTGCTGATAGCTTTTGTAGCCAAAAATGAGTTTGGATAGTAAACCTTTTCATTGTCCACCTTCAAGAAAACTGTTGTAACGATGTCCATTTCTTCAACTACGAGCTGGCAAGTGATAAAAATGAAACTGATTATTATAATTCCTCAACATCATGACACACAAAGGGAAAAAAGACGAATAAAGGAAGCATCACTTTCAACTAACCTGAACACCATCGATAACACATCGATCGCCAACATCATAAGGATGGACCACAAATACAAATATTGCAGATTCAACTAAACTCTTGCAAGTGTTGCCAAATGTAAAACCTATAGCAGTTAAGAATAAAGCAAGAGTTTCTGCGGTTGTAATCTTCAACAACAGGAGCCAAATAACAATGCTCACAAGGAAAAGCATCCCGGACACAATTGTGTTCAATTGCTTAATGGCAGCTTTGGTGTCAGTCAATGCATGTGCGAGTACGCGCCGCTGACGAAAAACCTTCGCCTGTAAAAAGTTACAAAATATAGCAGTTAGCTGGTCATAAAAGCTTCACTCTTCACCTTTTATTTCGCAAGTTTTTGTGTTAAATATTCTAAAAATAGTGTTCGATTTGGTCAACTTAGGCCCTGTTCTTTTGGGTTGGAATTTTAAACTTGGATGTTTGAAGAAACTGGAAGGAGTTGGAAGAAACTGGGTTGGAATTTCAAACTTGGATGTTGGAAGAAACTTGAAGAAGTTGGAAGAAACTGTTAGGAGTTGAAAAATGTTGGAAGAATAAAAGGGTTAAATAGCCACTCAATTAAATGATCACCCAAATAAATATGCAAGAAAACTCTAATTTTGGATAAAAAAGAATTTATCCTTGTCGGTGTTTGACGAGGTATGGTATAAATTTGGATATATAATGTTATTGTATAATTATTATATCTAAACACCTTTTTTAAGTTGTTGGAATAAACTAGGAGTTGGATAAAATTGGAAGCTAATTTTTTCAATCCAAAATAACATGGCCTTAATGATGCCGTACTTTTGCCAACTGATGCACCACAAATTATTAACTATTGTTGTGTACTTAAGCTATATTATTACATCATAATTATCATTCATATTGCTAAGAGCATAAGAGATGTCAAAATTGATGGTATCCCAATGAGACTTTAGACAATCTTCTCTCACATTAGTCATAATGTGCATTTATACCTAAAAAAGATCCACAACATAGAACATAAAAAATTAAAGAACTCTTACCACCCAGTCTATTAGAGATCTTTTGTCAATGCGCCCCATATCAGACCTATCAATGGAATGAAAAACCATATCCACCTGCTCCTTGTTTAAGAATCTTGAGAGGTCATCCTCATCAATGTACCTAATAATGACAATGTTAAGAAGAAAAAGACACATACAAAAGTAACACGAAAACATAGGCAAGTAGCGGGGAGACTAACTCACTTAGAACCGGGCTGAACAACATTCTTAAAGATATGGTAACCAGCCGCTATTGCTTCCATCTCATTGGAAATCTCTCTATCGGTAGCATCATCAAATTCATCTGATGCATTGCAGCTAATTAATAAAGAGGAACCTGTGAGTCCATCAACCATAACCTTAACAGTCCATGCTGAGACATTTTCACGGTTAAAAGGATGGATTGAGGCTAATTCTTGATTTGTATTAGTAGCAATTGTAATTCTACTACTCTTAACCTTTTTGGTGACCCTAGAGCTAGAGTCAAAGGTCAGCATCATCTCAATTAGTGGAGGGCCCGAGAGGGTTTGGATAACATATTGATGAAAAAGTGACTCCTGAATTCTATCAAAGTATGCATTGAGGTGGAGTCTAGATGTCAAAATTGTCAAACACAAGGTCTTCAATACCCACAAAAACGAACCGACAAGAAGAGCAACTAGAGTTGAAGATACAAGGTTAACAGTTTTGGCAGCAATTTTAGAACGTTCCACTCCGTGATTAAACAAAGAAACCCAGGTACCGAAAACCATGCTGATCCAAACGAATGCCTGGACACTCCTCTTCAAAGCCTGAAATAGATAGAGAACCTTCTTCTTGAGAAAAAAATTCCTCTCGATCGAGAAAAGCACGAGACACATCAAGGACCGAACAAGAAACAGCCCAGAGAAAACCTCCATTGCAAGCAGACACCACTTCCAAAGCTCCAATTTCCAGATCACAGACCGTCTAAGCCTCTCAATGCTAACAATGGCTAACAAGCAGCTTGAAATGGCGAGAAATACAAACAACTGAAATACACTCAGCTTTCTTACTCTCCTAGGGTTCTTTCTACTCAACTCAATCTTCTTATAAATCTCCTCATCCTCCTCCTCATCTTCCTCATCATCCCCTCCGCCTATTGGCCGAGGAGACGCCGGAGTGCGTGGTCCAGAGTGCAAGAGATGGCTTTCTGGAGCCCGATCTTCCGCCATATCCGGAGAAGCTTCGCCGGAGATTGCTATAGACACCTCCTCCTTGGGGGAACTCTTCATCTGTGAAACCCGGATTCTGTCGCCTTCTTGGCCTTTCTCTACCTCACCATCCGGCACCATCAGATCCCACAGAGTGTGTTGATCTCTGGTTTATTATAATATTACGAGATAGCGATAATCGTCCATGAATTAAGAGCTGAAATGCAGGAAGAGAAGACAATCGCCCATAAGGACAGCGGGCGGCTGTATTAATGCAAGGCCCTACCACCCCTACCGCTGTACTGAAGGAAGAGAAGATCAAAGCACAGAGGGTCAACGCAGCTTTATTAAATGCGGGAAGGGAAGAGAAGCTCTGGCCGGCGGCCGCCATGGATTGCTCTTCCCAGCAGTGGTCAACAGTGTCTGTCGACATTTTATGGGGCCAAATTAGAAGTTACTCCCTCCTTCCCAAATTATTTGCAACATTTATTTTTTCAGCATTCGCGGAAACTTTTGTTTATTTCTATATTTTCATTGGCTATTTCATAAAATAAAAAATTTGTGACACCTCTTATTTCGAAGAATTTTTCATGTAGTTTTTTGATATGTAAATTTTATTTTTTATTTCTATACCAATATGTAAATAAAATGAATTGAAAAAACTAGATATTTTTCCTCGGGAATACAAGTGTGACAAATATTTATGGACGGAGGAAGTAGTTAAAATATGGGTATTTAAGTATTCAGTATTTTAAAAAAGAAAAATGCTAGGGGTACACGGTGTACCCCATATGTCCCCCACCCCCTCCTTGTCCACTAAAAAAGGCAAAAAAATTAAAAAAAATAAATAAATAAAAATCAAATAAAAATGTGTGGTGGAGAAAGGTGTACCCCTAGCATTGCTCTTTAAAAAATGAGCAAAAGGACTTCGAAATGTGTTTCTGATCTGATTTGATTTAATCTGGTCCTAGTAAGAATAAGTAATAAATATAAAAATAAGTTAAAGAGAACATGATGGAGAAGATTATGGAAGGTTTTGGTTGCTCCGAAAGTCAAAGTTTGTCTTTGGGAGAGATATTCTCCAAATGTATGGGTTCGGAGAATGTGTGCCCGCTTTGTGGGCAATCGTTGGAGTCTATCGACCATGTTTTGATAGTGTGTCATTGTTCGAGTACTATTTGGAGACCAACGGTAACGGGGATTGTCGGATTGATATGTCGAGAGCATGGGAAGTGTCTTTCCAAAATTGGTTCCATGGGGCTGTCTTGTACAACATCCCTTTCTGCTCTCCAATCTATTCCCTCGTTTATTTGGGCTACAGGTGTTCCACCTAAAGTCCTACCAGTCAATTTGCGTGTTTTTACCTTTCTTACTTTGCCAAATCAAGCGAACTATTCTAGACCCGGTCTAGTATAGTTTGACCGGTCAAGTAATTTACATCATCAAGGCTGATGCACCCACGAATAAATGTATTACACGTTAAGGCTTTGTGTCAAGCTAAGGGTGAATGGAAGCAACTATGTCGGGAGAACGTGGATGTTCAGTCGTTGCCTTCTCAAATATTGGTATACCGCCTTTGCAAACCACGAATCCACGATAGGGGAGGAGTTTAGTTATGTTGATGCGGCTCTATTTCCACAAACTGAGATGGTTGGTTTCGGTTGCGTGCTTTTGGGGGAGAGTCGCTCTTTCTAAGCAACTATGAACATAGGTTTGGATTGTGCTCAAGATCCTCTTCTTGCGGAGGTCATGAGTTGCCGTGAAGCGTTGTCCTGGCTAAAAGGAAGATGGATTCGCAAATTTAGGCTTTTTTGAATTGTTTACAAGGGATCACAACTATTAAACAATGGGTTAGATTGTTATGTTATTTTTTTTATTGGTTTTACATCCATAGGTCTTTGGATTTAGTTGTCCATATTTTAGCTCAAAGTGCTTCTTCTCATTGTGTTTTTTTTGAGAGATCACTCCACCTAGACTGATTGCTGATTTGTTGGTTTGGTAATAAAATTTGTGTTCCCCTGGAAAAATTAAAATTTTGTGTTTATTTTTGTACTTCACATTGAAGTTACTAGTCCTGTAAGAAAGAATATAATATATACTGAATTAACAGAAAAAACTGAAATTGAGAATGGAGATCGAGAATGAAGCGAATCTAACTCGTGTGAGAAGATATATTGATTTAAGCATAATCTTTAATCTTCATGGGCTCATAATTGGACCTCTTTTGTGTTATAAGACCTATATATATATATATATATATATATATATATATATATATATATATATATATATATATATATATATATAATCATTTGATCTATTAAGATTTATTAAATGAGCATGTACTTATAGATTATCAAAAAGCTTGTCATCTTTCAATAAATACATATTACTCAAATCAAAAAAAGTAAAATTACTTTTTATACAATGCAACCTAATAAAAGAGAAAGTAGGCCCTTTTGATAACGAGCCATGGGCAGCCGCCCACCTAGCCAACCTCCATTGTCGGCCCTAATAGTTAATGGGTTCATTTAGCATGAGGGTTAGAGATCAGTGTTAGCATTTTGAATAAAAAAACATATGTGATAGTAGTTTTTAGTTAATTTACAACATATACTTACAATGATATTTTTATCTCAAAATAAGACTTACAATACTAATATCAATAACATATAATTTCAAAAATACTGTGTAAGATAAATATATAGTACCATTTTGTAACAATGCTAAATCCTATTTTAGAATAAAAATATGTTACACATATTTTAGAAATAATCACTATAGTATTTTTCAATGTATAAAATCAATTAAGAGCTTTGACAATAACTCGTCGATTATTCATTTAGGTATACTTCTTCATCAAACGATATGTAGAGTACTTAGTATAAACTTTAATTTATCAATTACAATAATTTATGTTATTGTTGTACATATTACTTTTCTCTATCTGTCATAAATCTTATCAAATTGACCTTTTGTAATTTTAAAGAGATTTGATAAAATGTGATAATTTACTAAAGTATTCTCAATATAATAGGGAAAAGCTTATTAAATGAGGTGAATAAAGTCTAATACACAAAATAAGTAAGAGTATGTGTAGTATTTTAAATATTCACAGAAGATATTTCCTAGACAAAAAAGGAATATAATATTTCTGAAATTCATTTATAACATACTCCCTCCGTCCCAAAATATAAGCAACAGTTACTCCGTATTATTTTAGTATCTCGATAATTTTTGTTTGTTTACTTGTTTTGGTTGACTATTTAATACTCTCTCCATCCCAATTTATAGTGCTTGTTTACTATTCATAGAGTCAAACTTCATTCACTTTATTTCTCTATTTTCGTTAGCAATTTGATAAAATAAAGTACTATTGTTTCTACTAGTTTTGTAGATCTTCTGATGTAGTATTTTAATATGTAATTTTTATTTTTTAACTATATACCATTTGTCATATAAAATAATTTGAAAATAATTTCAGTCAAACATCGTAAACCGAAACAAACACTATAAATTGAGACGGAGGTAGTAGAATAAAATATTTTTCTCCCATCGTATAATTTTTTCTCACATTGTAAAACTTTTGATCTATTTTTGAACGGTATAATTTTTACTGTTTATTTCTCTGCCAATTTGTAAATAAAATCGTTTGAAATGTTGCTTAGGACGGAAGGAGTAAATAAAGATTACTACCTCCGTCCCAGAGTATTTTGTCCACTTTCATTTTTACACACCATCCAATACACTTCTTTAATCCATTTTATCTTGTAATTTGTATATTAAAAAATTATAGAAATTATATATTAATAATCTATATGTTAAGACAAATCAAACAAGATCACACATGACTATATTTAGGCTTACACATTAAGATAATTTGATGAGTCAAAGTGCTTAGATGAACAGTTCCAAAAGTCAAAACTGGACAAATACTCCGGGGACAGGAAGTATATAATAATAATAAAAATGTACAATACAAATTTTATTTAGATTTCTGATCAATAGTTAGATTTGTGATCAGTTGTTGCGGGATTGGTGGGAAGTAAGCAATGGAAGAAAGCGAAAGATTGAGAGACGAAGAAGGAGAGGAGGAAGAGGAGATATGGAGCTGGGGAGCGGGCACAGAGGGCCAGCTGGGAACGGGGAAACTCTCCGACGAGCGCCGCCCACAGTTGATTCGTTCTCTCTCCTCCTTTGGCCCCGTCTCTCTCCTCGCCTGCGGCGGCGCTCATCTCATCGCCCTTCTCTCAGGTCTCTCTCTCTCTCTCTCTCTCTATTTCGTTGTTCATTAAGCCCTTTAGGTTTTCTGCTCAATTACAGTACATGCCTTTGTTTTTAAACGGAAAAACTATCTAATTAGTACTAAAACATCACTTTATATGCCAAAATATGACTTTCAAAATGTTATTATATCAAAACGGGACATATAGTAATGCTAGAGAGTATCGATATCTAATGCCAAAAAGTATTGTGAAATGCCAAAACAGAAGCACTGTAAGCAACACAACCCCTGCAAAAAAATACAGAGCTTTTTTCGTTAGAGCCTTGATGCATTGCTGCATTTACTACCAAAAACTTCAATATGTGATTTTGGACTTGTCTATTATTTACCGGGACCTAAAACACTGTCTCTTTTGGCTCCATTGGCAATGGATGCCAAAACCACTCAGCTGTATCGAGTGGCAATCATCTAAAAAAATTGAAGCCCGAAAACTCTTTGTTTTGCAAAATCGATTGAAACAGAATGCTGTCTCCGTTATCTTAGAAAAAAGGTCATGATTGTAAACGTATTTTCCCCCCAAAAACCGATTTGAATGAAATAATCCGGTTTTCATTATATTTAATGTTTTTTACATTAAAAAAAGTGTCAAAATCAAGTTGAAGGTGTTCTATTTAGCTAAACCAGCAAAAAGATGCTTTACCAATATACTCTGTAACTATGCTTCATGATTTCAAAAAGGTTTACATTACTGAAATTAGAAATTGTTAAGTTTGTGAATAAAGATTATTTTTTATGGGATAGAGGAGTAGAAGTTTGAATCTTGACGGTTGGGGGTTTGCAGGTGGAAGAGTGTTGACATGGGGTAGGGGTTCATCTGGGCAATTAGGCCATGGGGAAGCTGTTAACAGTCTGCAACCTAAGGCTGTTGAGGCTTTAGTAGACTCTGTTATTAAACATGTTTCTGCTGGGTGGAACCACTCTGGTTTTGTTTCAGGTATGCTCACTTCTCTCTTTCGCTTTTGTTGGTGTCTTCATTTGATAAAGGGCACCCCGCTGAAGGAGGGTCTAGGGTAGGGTCCCACACAAAGGTGTGTTACATTGCATTTCCAAAACAGACTGCTTCGAGGAATCCAACTCATGACCTAGGTCACACAGAAACACCTCAACTCGTGCCCCAGAGCCTGAAATACTCTCTCCGTCCTTAAAAATGTCAAATATTGATAGAATACACAAATTTGGAGACACCATTTAATTATTTATTCACGTTGGAACTTGTGCATTTACTTTTGAAAATCATCATCAATTTTTTTCATTAGCTATTATTTGTTGGAGCATGCAATGCATAATTCCAAGGATGCAATAAATAGAGATATGAAGTAATTTCAAACTGGAATTTGTTGGCCATGCGTGCATCAATTGTCTCGTGTCGGAAGCTCTGTGGGCCAAGTCACACTCGAATGTCATGAGTGCTTGTGGGTGTTGAATGCACTATAAGGTTAAGGTATGCACTTTTCCCAACACCAATTGGTTTAAGGAGAGTTGGTAGCACCTGAGGTCTTACAGAATTGATAAGTATTACGGGACATAAAAAAAAGTAAAAATTTTGACATTTTTTAGGGACAGAGGGAGTAGTTTCCAATCCCAAACCTTTTTCCGCACCTTATGTTTATCTGTGTTTTTCATTGGAAGTGCTAATTCAAATTCTTCATGTTGCTTTCCATTTGATTTGATGCTAGAGAGCGGTCACCTTTTCATGTGTGGAGATGGTACTTTTGGGCAGCTTGGCCTTGGTGATCATTTATCACAGTCTTCTCCTGTAGAAGTACCATTTTTTAGGTCTAAACATGTCAAGCAAATTGCTTGTGGCATGCGACATTCACTTGCTTTGGTCAAAGGTATGGTCCCCAGGTATTTTATGTCTGCATCCAAAAATAGCCGTGAGGAAAGTTCACACTTCACATTATAGTTTTGAAACGCTTTGGCTTCATGAACTGAAAGAGGTTACTGTAGGTAATATGGGAAATCGTGTTTATGGATTCGGGTCTGGAAAACGTGGTCAACTGGGTATATCTGATGGTAAAGTAAGGTCAGTTGCTGTTCCTCAGGTCACTTTGGGCTTGGAAAATCTCTCAATCAACTCCATTTTTGCAAATGGAGACCATAGTGCAGCGATATGTGGTAAGTGTCTAAAGCATTAGTACACACACACACAGGTAATATATAGTACAGAATTTAAGTTTCAGCTGTTATGAATTATGATATGTAATCATCCCTAACACTGTGAAAGGGAAAAGAAAAGAAAATGAGATAGAAAACGATTTTTATTGTTTGGTTAGATAGGAAAATAAAAGAAAATTGGAAGGAAAAGGAAATAAGAAGGCAAAATGTACTGAGAGGAGGGAAACCCAACTTCCTCCCATTTTGGTGGGAAAAATGAGAGAAACCCATTTTCTTTTCTTTTCTTTTCTTTCCGAATTCTTCGAGCCAAACATAGTGTAATTGTTATGCAACTCTTGCTGATTTTTGCATGCTTCGTTCCTTGCTTTCCAAATATTTGTCATGTTAGCTGATGGACATTTCTATACATGGGGAAGAGGTTTCGGTGGTGACTCGGATATGTTTATGCCCAGGTGTGTTACAGTGAGGCCGTCATTCAGCAATGCTTCTCTAGGATGGAATCATGCTCTTGTATTAACAGGTAACTGGTTCAGTCACATCGAATATAAACAGTCTGCCATGCTGCTTTGAGCAGAGAAGTAAAACATTCTTTGGCCTTGGGGAGACTATGAAAGGCCTTTAGTTGGTCTTTCCTATTATAAAAACCTTCCAACATAATGTGGTCCAACTGTTAGGTGTTAGCGGTTTGTGCTCCAAAAATTTTTGTAAACCCGAAAAACTATAACAGTAAGCTTGAAAAAAAAGTATACATAAACCAGCTTTTTGGGGCAAAAAAGCTCTCTCAAAAAAGTTTTTACCAGATACTTCTAATTTTTGTCGTTCTAGCTAAAAGACACTTTTTTGCAAAAAGCTCCTTGCTGAACATCCTCTTTATGTACTCCCTCCGTCCATGTTTAGTCTTCCCATTTGCTTTTTACACAGAGTTCAAGAAAAATTGTGTGGTTGGAATTTGTGGAGAGGAGAGAGAATTCATGTGAATCAAACAATTTTCTCTTTAACAGGAAATGAAAAGATTAACTAGTGACATCCTAAAAAGGAAAGTATGAAGATTAAAATGGGACGTAGGGAGTAATAATTTCTTCATATTTTTGTTAACAATTTTCAGGTGATGGAGAAGTGTTAATGATAGGTGGCTATAACTATGATGGTGCTTCTAGTGCTCGAAAACCACAGATGATGGCAAAAACAGATAAAGGCGGCGGTTTGTGGCCTTCATTTTTTCTAATAACATCACTGTCATTTGCACTACGTTTGGTTCAAGGAAATGGGAAGAAAAGAAAAAGAAAATGATTTCTCTCTTTTTTCTTACCAAAATGGAAGGAATCGTGTTATCCCTCTTCTTAGTGTATTTTTTGCTTGTCATTTTCTTTTCCTTCCACTTCTTTTCTCTTCCTCTCTAACCAAATATAAAGATTGTTTTCCATATCATTTTATTTTCTATTCCCTTTCAAGCTTTAGATTCCTTGAACCAAACATAGTGTGCGGTTTGGGTAATCGCTACATGATAATCAATATTGCTATAGGAAATGAAGAGATTGTTCAGAAGGTTGATGCTCTCGTTGGGGTAAAGGTTCTCCAAATTTCTGCAGGATCTGAGCACTCGGCCTTGGTAACAGGCAAGCATATTACCCAAGTTGAAAATGAAACGATACTTAGTTGATGATTAGTGCCCTCACTTTACTTAATTATGTATAAATCGGCATATGCCATGTCATTTACAGATGATGGATCGGTAATGACATGGGGATGGGGTGAACATGGTCAGCTTGGCATGGGAGATACCAATGATCAAGCTCTTCCCCAAGTGGTTACTATACTTGGCAATTACAAGCATGCTAAGAAGCCATTTGTTGCCAAAGTTTACTGTGGCAGCGGATTTACCTTTGTCATAAAGAAGAAGGCTGTAAATTATCAGTATTAATTCACAACATCCTAACTGGATTCATAGGTGTTTTTTAGATCTGTTTTACATCAATATGCAGTGTTGTTTGACCTCAAATTGGGTTCCTAGCTTCCTTTAATAGTACTTGTACTGATAAAAGTGGTTCCATTTTGTTTGGTTAAGTATTTATTGGTGATGAATGCCATGATATCTGGATGTGAGTACTTCAATTCCTTCCATTTGAAGCCAAAAAGTATTTAAAAGCAAGCTTGTTCACTGTTCTTTTGGAACCAATCAGGTCACCAAGTTTAAAAACAGTGACAGGAACCGTTACAATGCACAAAAATTGTATAAACCCTCCCCTCGAACCAAACACGTCCTAAAATGATAATCTGTAATTCTGTATTGACTGAATGCCTCAGTTTTTACATTGTAGATAACAGCAGGAAATTTTACATGCCACTCGGGCTTACAGGGTACACATACACCACTACCGAGTCTACTGTAGAAGATGACATTGTATCAGTCGCTACGTAAAGACTTCAGTGCCTGAAAGAAGCCTCTATCTATCCTAGGATTCCTACCTGTATATACACATGTACATGAAGAATGTACTCCGTAATTGATTCAGATCATCAGTGGTAAACATGTTCCTTTCAGTAGAGAAAGAATTCGTCAAAAAATGCAGTGCTAAAGTTGCTATTCTGTGTCAAATCCTGAGAAAAGAATGGACTCTGATCCAATGCAGAGTTGCTGCAATCCCAAGAGCCATCCTGTAACATGCTTCTATTTATATGTTTATATGATCACGAGAAGATTATTTTCATGCCCGTGGTTTTGGACAACAGGGCGTAAAGGATCGACCCTCCATTTGCCATCAACAATGAACTTGATCTACACATAATGCAGTGCTCAGTTTTCTAAAGGGAAAAAATTAGATGATGATGATGGGGGCCTTACCTCATATTTGCCAGGATATAAGAGCAAGGTCAAGGAAAAAATTCCAGCACTTGATTTCTCCATCTTCCTCTGCACCACTTTAACTGTTTATTACTCCGGTATCATTCATGCTACTAATCAAGGGGCAATATTATCTTGCCAAAAACAACTTGCAGAAGCTGATAAAAAAACTTGGACCTTTTTTTTACTTTTGAAGACTATATTCTTTAGATGGAATGAACTTGAAACAACTATGGTCTTCCAAATATATTTCCATTTCAGTTTCCCAGATATCATAGCAGGCATATGATGACATGAATAAATCACATTGCACTCATTGATCATCCAAACAAAAACAAACCTTGCTTCTTACATTCTACTCTATCAGTCATCTCTAAAATTGTGCAATTTGCATATAGCAGAAGAGCAGCTTCCTCATTATAAAAATGTAGTGAAACAAAACCAAACCTGGCATGTCCAGGAGTCAAAAGAGCCTGCTACAAGAACTTCTGAGGCAGAATTAGGCCAGACAATATGGGTAGTACGCAAAAGCCGCATAGCTATATAAGCACTGTCAATTCTACTCTGTTTCTTTTCAGTTGTCTTTTGTGCATCACTGAACAAGAACAGTTTGAATACCAATTAAAGTGTCCAGGGTAAACAATGAAATTTATTGATGCTTTACATACATAGTTGCCAAGGTCATTTTCCCCTCCAGTATAGTTAGCTTTGTACGTATTGACCGCAATCTCTCCTGGGCATTCATGAACTGATTTTCCTGGAACTCCAATGCATCCGAAAGCTTTAGCACATCACTACTACTACAAGAGCCTCTCATAACCTGGGGAAGAAATATATGCAGAAAATCACTCGTAAAGACTACTAGACAGCTTTTCTTGATGCAAGTCCTACCTTGTACGGCAAACATTGGTTGTCATTCCCAAGCATAACCATTTCAATCCTTAGTTCATCCTTTTCAATCTTTCAGAAGAATTTTCCCTTGTAGGAGTTGTAGCCTTTATTTAAGAATTATGGGCCTCCACAGGAGAAATGAACTTATGGCTTTGATGAACACAAGGGTAATTATAGAACAACATTTATAAAATAAAAAACCTTTCCCACTCCTACGACCCAGTTTATGGTGTAGGCAAGACAAGTTTAAAGAGGCGGCATATTGGCATAATGGTTTGAAAAAAAACTGGTTTGGATATGAAGGAAGTTTGTTTTAGAAAGGCGAGGCGTAAGCATTGGCTCTTTGAAGATTAAGCCTTGTTTACCATGTCTGTTAAAAACTTAAGCAATTCCCCTTATATTCCATTCCAATAATTACTGGCCCCTCCATCCATTCAAAGTGTTAGTTCCGTTCTGGGCAAAGAGCAACATTAAGGCTAAATGCAATTCATAAAAGAAGTGTCAACGTCTAATATATAGTAAAAAAAATATGCACCACACTTTAATTAGTCAAAAAAATGCATACCGTTTAATGACTAGTCAGAAAACTGTATGTTTTACCTTTTGTGAACTCTTGAACATCATGAACTCAAGTGCTGAATTAAGCTCAGCTTCAAGGTGCTGAATGCGGGCTCTTATGTCATTGTGATAGACACCACTCTGTCTGAATAAATTTTCAGTACCCTTTTCAGTCACAACAGCTGTTTCATCCATTGAAGTTTTTCTACCTTCTTTATCTTGACCAAAACTAATTTCAGCCGCTGCAAGTTTTAAGTAGAATGAACAAATAAAAAAAGATGAAATGCTGATATGTATATTACATACCAGGTTTTCATGGAAATTAAATAGCACAGAGTACAAAATAAATACGTTCAAATTCAGTATCGTGAAAGCCAGCACGTCGAGTACTCCAAGTTCTCCATGAATCAGTTGCAGCCATGCTGGTATCTCCTAGATTACACCTGACTTTTTTTATATATCACAGTTAAAAATCACTAGTAAATATCACTAGTGACAGGCCAATCCATAACAACAGCAACAAGAACAAGTCAACAAGTACGATCCCAACTCCATTTGGGTCTGGGACTCTGGGTTACAGCAAAAATAGGTGTTTCCATTAGACCCATACACTCTACCCAAAACATTATACAAATCTAATATATTATTTATCTGAAGCTAATACATTATCTGAAGCTCATACATTATCAATTATTTATCTGAAGCTAATACATTATCTGAAGTTGAGGCAAATAAAGTTTTATGCGTCATTTTGATTTGGTCCATTATTTATCTGAAGCTAATACATTATCAATAACGACTCTAGAGGCTCACACAAAAGTAAATTGTCTCAGGATGATGAAAAAAATGGAGTGAGATTTGTGAGAATATTGATGGCATTCTTAAACATCATTTGGAAGCAAATGGTACATTGTTTAAACCATTAAACTTATGGAATGCCACATTAACCAAATGGTGAGTGTAAGCAGAACTTACCTGCATCAGTGGTCACAATGTTCATATCATTCCCATCAGCCCTGCTTGATGCCCATTTTCCATTCCCAGATTTTTCTGAAGACATGAGGAGAGATGATTGTCTGTGTTTCTCTAATCGCTGCAATATGCCCTCAATTCCACTTTCTTCTTCTGCTCCTATTTCTCTGAGCCAAATGGAAACACTTTCAGATAAAAAAAAAGGCTATACCAAAAAATATTTGCAATATAACATACATAGATACACAAAAGGAATTGAGGATGAACCCAACAGATTCAAGAAGGCTTTTAAGATCTTGCAACTCAACAGATAAATATCCACACAATATCACTTATTACAAAGAGAGTGGGCAGAAGAGAACATTGACAAAAATTACAAATATTTATTCTCAGAAAACAAAATCCATTCAAACTGAAACTAAAGTCCTAAATAGGAAGCTCACAATGATCTACCAGAAGAAGATGCACATTCAGAAGAACCATGGGAATCAAGAGAGTACACTTCATTGCCCTCAAAAGCTCCACTATCTCGACAATCGTTGACCCTTCTTAGAAACTCTTCCATATTTAAATCAATATCAAGTCTCTCATTCATATCATCATCTAAATCCCAACCCAGCGAAAACCAACCGCCTCGCCTCCAAATATCCTCAGCCAGATCATATCTCCCAGCTTCCTCCAACTCTCTCCTAGTCGGGAACGCTCCTGGCTTCCTAGAATTCCCCATGAACTCCAAGATTCTCGCCTCCAGCTCCGCGTCCCCTCCAGAACTCGCCGACCCTCCATAACACCAACAACAAGAATCGCTTCTCCCCCTCCACATCGGCCCCAGAAACCCGAAACAAGCCTTCTGTTTCGTCCCCGAGAGTCTAACTCTAAACGCCGGGCGGGAGAGTTTCGACCCGCGGCGGAGCACGGAGACGGGAGAGGGATTGAGAGAGGGGTTCAATTTGAGAGGAAGGGAGAGATGATTTGGGGTCCAGAAGAGGGGCACCATTGCACAGGCATTTCGTCGAGCACAGGGAGAGCGTTTTGGGGCGGACAGGAAGGATGCTTCAAGAGAGGGAAGAGGAGTGGAAGCGGGAGAACCCAGCCGCGAAGCAACGAACAATCCGTACCGGAAAGCGGGGCTGGGAGTCAGGGTTTGCCGGGAAGTTGTTTTTCCTGGTTTCTGGTTTGTAATAGTGAGAGGTTGTTTGGGAGGTTATTTTTACTGGTTGCTTGAAACAAAAGCACCTCATATCTGCTTTTCCGAAACGGTGTTCCATGTACAAAATAATGTTGGTGAAAAGCAAAAGCTGACATGCCAAACAGAGTAAAATCACTTCCACTCAAAGCAGAAGCTAAATTGTTAAAAACAGCGCACTACCAAACACCCCTCTGAGTGGGATGGGCAAAAATACGGATTAGACATTAATTGAAATATGAGTTTTTAAAATACTTAAATGCTCTATATTATTCCATTTTCAAAATGATACTCTATGTTATTCATCTTACCTTTGTTATTCTTTAATATTCTTAACTCTTTTTTTCATTATTCATATTAATTTATTTAATCTCAATACTCCCTATTTAATACTTCCTCTGTTCCTAAATTATTTATACATTTCATTATTTAAAAATTGTGGGAACTTTTATTTATTTAAGTTTTTTTATTGATTATTTGATTAAATAAAATATTCTTGTCACATTTTGTTTTGTAAAACTTTGATGTACTTTTACAATATGTAAGTTTATTTTTAAAATTTAAAAAATATGGGATTCTATTCCGTTTTGCGTAAAATGTAAATAATTTAGAGACAAAGAGTACTTCCTTTGTCCTATAACAGATGTCATACTCCGAATAACATGTAAAATCTAATCATTTTAAAAAATATTTTGATTATAAATTGGTATAAAAATAAAAAGTATAAATTACATCATTTAAAAGTACATGAAAATTTTTATAAAACAAGAATATCTTATTTTATCAAATGATCAATAAAAATATACAAACAAATAAAAGTTATCGAGAAACCATAATAGTAATAGTGGTATCCATTTTGGAACGGATGAGGTATTACTGTAAAACTATAATTTGTAAAAAAAGTGTTACAACACAATATGTATGTTGTGTAAGAACATAAAAATATATTGGTGCACCAAAATTTTTTACTAAATTATTGTTTGATTTTTTGTAATAAAATTATTTTTTACTCTTACAAAAATATGGTATGACTTGACATGGTTGCGCTCATAAATGTTCTCTTGGTCTCCCAATCTAGAGCTTGTTCTTTTAAACTTATTCTAATTACTTATTACTTAACTTATTAGAATGGATTAGATCAAATCAGATAATTTTCTCTCATCCATATTATCTCCACATCATCCATATTATCTCCACATCATCTATATTATAATTATCAATAATTCAAGATAAATACTTTCTCCTAAATATTATTCTCTCATGGTATAAGAGCCTAAATTCTGAAATTCTCGATTGTTGGTTGATCACCACTGAGTCGTCTGCCAGGTTGATAATCCCGGTATGATTTTAATCCCGATTGTCTTGAAGGGAGATAATTACAACGAGTGGTCCAAATCATTGCGCCTTGCTCTTTGAGCACGCAAGAAGTTTGGATTCTTTGATGAATCGATTGAAATTCCAGATCCTGATTCTAAGGATCTGGATGATTGGTGGACAAATTACTCACTTTTGGTCTCATAAATTCAGAACACTATTGATCCAATCTTGTGGAACAATCTAAAGGCTCGTTTCATTGTTGTTAATGGACCTAGGGTTTAACAGTTAAAACAGAAATTGTCATAGTGCAAACAAAAAAATCGTTTCATAATGGAATATAATGGCAAGATGAAGAAGTTATGGAATGATTTTGTGGATCTTGAGCTTCCTCCAGTCTATATGTGCAAGAAGTGCACATGTGGTTTTCCATCAATTCTTGTAAAAATTTGTGAAACAGATCATATTCACCAATTTTTTTGATGGGGTTGAATGATTCGTTGTATGGGACGTTGCGGAAAATATATTGTCGCAAGAACCTGTACCTATTGTCGGACGAGTCTATAATATTTTGATACAGAATGAGATAGTTTGGAACCCAATGCAGAAAGTTGATCGAGGAGATGTTGTTGTTGCTGCGTTTGCAGTAAATAAAATAAAATTAAAGCAAGGGAACTTGTTTCTTCCCACTGTGGCAAGATCGGTCATGAGATTGATGCTTGCTACAAACTTCATGAGTATCCTGAAGGATGGTTTTTCAGAATTAGAGTGGCCGATGAAGAGTAGCGAAACACTGAAAGGGTCGCATTCCATGTCGTGATAGTGGATGAGGAACCACGGGAGGTGGCCGTGGTGGTGTGCATGGCGTGCAGGGTAGCACGGAGGAAGATAGGGTCCTCTCCGCTGCCCAGTTTTGATAATCTGACTCAGGAACAGTGAAATGCTTATCGTCATGCTCTTTCGCTATCACCATTAGATTCAAATGTGAAACTTTTAGGTATTTCTGTATCACTGTATTAGATTGTTGATATCGCTGCACCGAATCACATGACCCGTGAGCTTTCATTATTATATGATATGGTGGGTGTGTCACCTTGTGTAATTGTTTGCCTGTATAAAAAGATTTGTGTGTGTTCAATGTGAAAAGCTAAGGTTGATTTGACAAAAACTATGACTTTACAGAATGTTTCCAAATCTGCATTGTCATTTAATTTATGTTTCACAATTAACAAGGGAATTAAAGTGTGAGGCATAGTTCACCAACAACTGATTATGTGTATTATATGACCTTAGTTTAAGGACAACGATTGTCCATTGGTGTGGGTAGAATGAAAGAGGATTATACTTTTTGAAGGAACCACGAGAGGATCACTAGACTATTGCCTTTAGAGTTATTTAGTGTTTGAAAGGGTGCCTAGGTCGTGCAATGATATTCTCCTCTCTACAGATAGCGATCTACAACTTACTAGGTGATGTGATTCTGTTTGTGCTGTGTGTCCTCTTACGAGGTGTTCTTTAATTGGATAATTTATTCAACTCGAGAATTCACCTATTTCTTGAAAGACAAAGAAATAAACGATGGTTGCTCGCTCATCTACTGAGGCTGAGTATAACACGACTACATTTCATATGACAGTTAATCTAGTTTTTCACGAGCGCATGAAACATATTAAAATCGAGTGTCATTTTGTTCGTGACGAGCTTCTTTGAAGCGTGATTCACACACATCATGTTCCTATTACACACCGGCATGTAGATATACATACGGAGGTGTTGAAAAACCACGTTTGGAGTTTCACTTTTGCACGCTCCAACTTGAAGGTGGTGTTAAAGGAAAGAATATTTATGTATATAGTAGTTTCCTTGTATATTTTTGTTTCGTTTTGTATATATTTCTTTTTGTAGTTGTTTCTATATAGAGTTCCTAGCTCTTGAGATCTTACATATATGCGCCTTGTTCATATTGTAATAATTAATAATGCAAGAGAAATATTTTCTCTCAAATATTATTCTTTCAGTAGTTGCTAACGTCGAAGAAGAAAAGAGTGTTATTGGAGGTGCTTGTTTAACAACAGATTACTAGCATTCTTTGTTATTTTTTAATCCGGGCAATGCCATGTTTCTGTTCTCAATGGTGAGAATCTTTTGTAATTCTCTTAAATGGTGAGTTCTTGAGATACTCATTCATCTTCTTCTATTTCTCCTATTGACTTTGTTTTCTTTCGATATTTATTGCTTCTATTGAATAAAGAAAGAAGTGATATATTGTTGGTTAAGAATGGAAAATTTTGTAGAGAAAAAAATAGAATAAAAATAGATGGTGGAGAAGAAGTTCGATGTGTGAGATTTTTAAGGGATTAAACATTAGAAAAAATTTGGTCATGTTTATTTGTAATATATGGTGCTAATTAAAAAAGAAAAAAGATGGCAGTTCTTGCTCTTGAATGGTCCCTCTATAACTGTTTTGGGGGTGCGTTAATCATACACTCATCGAGTGCAAGTGTGAATTCATCTACAGTCATATATCACAAGTGAGTTCTGCAATATGCCCTTCCCAAACATTATCTTTTATGTTTTTAACCTTTTTGAACCCTAGATAATTATTCTCGATTTAGTCGTCGGTAACCGAATTCGAAAACCAAACATGAGTCAGTCATACTTGTCATCGATTGATCAACCTCTTCAAGCCATGACATCTTCATCAAGCTCCAACACATATATTGATGATTGTTTAATAAACGAACTCAAAAATCTAGCACACAAACAGAGACTATTGGTGCAACATTTTTAAAAATTCAGGAGGCGTTGATGTAATTTTTAAAGTTCAAGGTGAATGCGTGCAATTTTTGAAAAATTACGGGGTAAATGGCACAAAAAACTCAATTTATTAATCTGTACCTTATTAAAATTCACTTGTTGGAGATGCTAGCGTAAAAATGCTAATTGTCAAAGAAAAACATTAGAAATATACCAAAATAGAAATTTCATATTTTTTAATCACGAAATAATACTTAAAATGCAGTTATAATACCAATCATGACCATGTACATTACGTAAAATGTACATATACAGTGTCGCATTACTATAGTGCAAACTCCTATTTAGGAAATAAAAATACGAAACTCCTATTTTGGTACTTTTCTAAAGTTTTAGTCCTATTTAGGTGATTTCTTAATTGTCAATACATTTTTAATGGCAATTAAATGTCAATACATATTAATCTTTCACTAATTTATTTAATATATAACATTATTTATTCCTTAATATCAAATTAAAACAAATAGCTAGCTTCTTCATTTGTTTTCATACATAAGTTTATTCCATACTATACTCAATAATCATTTTAAGTGATTTTCTAAAATTTTGAGTGAACTTTCATCTAAAGAAATTAAATTTGTTTAGAAGTTCAATTGGTAAAAGTAGAATATTGAATTTCTTACTGGTCTTTCTAGTGTCAAAATTGGTATAAGAAAAAACTTACCTATATGGTAGCTAGGGATGTTCAAAGATATCTGATCCGAAATATCCGTCCACAATCCGGGCTGAAAAGATATGAAAAATGGATATTCGATCCAATATTTTAGATTTCGGATATTTCGGATCGGATATCTAAAAAAATCGGATCGGATATGGAATGACATATTGAGATTTCAGATATCCTTGGATATCTGAAGTTCATATTTTTTAAAAATAAGTATAAAAATAAAGCTTAGACAATTTAAGCATATTCATCTTCATCACCATAAGTATTTAAATCTAAGCTTAATTCAAGTTTTTTACTCTAGTCTTTTTGTCTATGTTTTATTTGGCAATTATGTTGATATTGTTTTTCATACATTTAAAAAAATATGACTTATAATAACACAACTAATTACTTTTTCTACAAATAATTACTTACTTATAATTATAACTAAAAAATACAATTGACTTCAAATTCAATTCTAATTTATGATCTCTACTATATAAACAAATAAAAAATTATTCAGAATATTTTTTTAGAATTATTAAAAAAAATAAGATAATTTTTTTCTGGAGTGAGAGATATGGAATAGATATTTACCAATTCAAAAATTTTGAATATCCGACAAATCGGATCGGATCAGATCAGATATATCCGAAGTAACCCGGTAATATTGAGTAGTTGTCAAAATTTCCTTTCACTTTGAATTTTCTCGTGAAATTACTCCTTTCTGAATGTTTTTAAGTGGACTTTGAATTGGAAAAGATGAAAGTTTTTAAAATTATTTTTAATAAAAGTGGATACACTACTAGGTGAGATCTAATATATAAAGGGATGATAGAAGATTGATAGTTGTAATATCTGGGAAAACAAATTCCAAATAAAAAAAATATTTGAAAAGATTCTTTTCGGAAAAAATAGTATATTGATACGAATATCGTATCGGATAGGGAAAACTTTGAGCGTTTCAGAACTCCAAGAAAAGAGAAACGAGAGATTAAGAGAATTCTTGATTATTGATTGATTGAATAATAATATTAAAAGGTTACAATATATAAAGAATGCAGATAATCCTAATTGACCTAGTGGGCCCAGGCTCATACTAAAATCCTAAACCATCAATAAATAATACGGAGTAATAAATAACTACTAAATACTAATTTAACTAAATAAAATATTATAATTAACCATCTGTATCATTCTCACCCTTAAAAATCACCTTGTCCTCAAGGTGGAGGCTCCCACTCGTGTTTCTGGATTGGAGAGATAATGTTAAACTAAAGGAGCAGTCCATCCATTCTTTGAAACTTCAAAAATCCTAGCTCTTGCATCAACGTGATGGTAGTATGACACACGGCACTTAAAATATGGAGTTAGGCTCGTTTAGATTTAAGAAAGGTAAATGTATTTGTGTCCATTTATACAAAACTGAAATGTATTATGATATACGTAAGATGAGAAGTGGTATAAATTTTACGGGATTAAGGCTTTGTTGTTTTGTGTTGAAAAAATTAACTTTAAACTTTTTCAAACTTTTTTCAGTTTTTCAACAACTTAAAAATGTATTTATATATGATTAATACTCGTATAAAACAACATTATTATATATCCAAACTTATAACATATTATCCCAAACAAGGACAATGATGAATTCTTTCTTTATCCAAAATTAAAGTTTTTTCCCCTATGTTTATTTGGATGATCATTTAATTGAGTGACCTTTTAACACTTAAAAATTTTCAACTCCTCTCAATTTTTTTTAATTTTTTTTTTAAATTTCTTCTAACATCTAACTTTTAAAGTTCAACTGAAAAAATAAGATCATCTGATATGATTCCAATTTACTTGGGTTCATTTCTTTTAAGTCCGAGAAACACACTTTATAAAGCCTGAAACTAAAACCCTTAGGTCCGCCTCTTCACATCCTCGCCCAGTCTCTACTCTCTCTACACAGAACCCTCCTCCACCCCTGACCACCGTCTCCGGCGGATATCCTATTGTACTTTTATTTACAGAACTGTGCATTCCATGGAGGCCGCGGCGGCGTTGGAGGCCATGGAAGGACCAGTCATCACCGTCATCACCAAGCGCATCCGCGCCCTTCGGAAGAAGCTGAACCGTATTTCGCAGATGGAGGACTCTATTTCCAACGGGAAGGCGCTGAATAAGGAGCAGGAGGAAACCCTACGGTCGAAGCCTTCCGTCATCGCCGGCATTGAGGAGCTCGAGAAGCTTCGGCAACCCCTTACTGCCGCCGTTGATGAAGAAATCAGCCTGGCTATCCAACGACAGCAAGTCTCCGTTTCTAAATCGGAGGCCTCCATTGACGCTTCCCCCAATTGCGAGGATAAATCTGATGAATTCACGGAAAATAAGGAAGAAAGCACGATTGAGCAAAATACTAATGTTACATGTGAGTAATTTTTTTTCCTCTTCTAGCTAGAGGGACATTTATCAATTGATTCTTATGATATTATATGAAAAATCCATTTATCAATGGGTTCCTAATCTTTGTAGATTCTGGGGTGAGATTGAAGCTGAAAAAGATTTTTGACTCACAGTATTCAACTTCATCACCTGTTATGAATTTTGGGACTCACCAAGTTCAGGTTCAAGAATCCATTCCATCTGTGGATTTGCAAGTCCATGTTGAGGGTACAGGAATGCAGTACCAGGAGAAGGTGAAAATCATTAATGCCACTATTGTTTGTTTCCAAATTGGAATCATAATTAAACCATGGTTATGCTTTTAGTAAAATACATGAAAGTGATGAAACCTAGTTCTCAAAAGGCAATTGATTCAACCCCAATTGAAGATTTACAAACGTACATCATATTTTTCTTTTGGGATTCCTCAAGTCCAATAATCCGTGCACATCTAATTATAGTTTTTTTAATGCAAATTTTTTATATTCCATAGCTT